GTCAAATTGTCAGGGTCAGCCTAGTAACAAATGACTTGCTTGCATTGGTATTATATCACATAAGACTTCATCTTCATATTTTTCAATGCGAAATGAGACCAAAACCTACTTGTTCATCTTTACCTCACCACTATTATTAAACCATTGCAACTTGTAAGGTCAAGAATGTTTGATGGTTGGCAGTCCTAATTTTTCAACCAAATTAGTGCTAGCAGTTAGTATAGCTTCCTCCATCAATGATCATACTACATACCTTGTTTTGTACATGCACCTAGCGTGAAAAATGTTTTCTCTTTGAATTTCTTCATCAACCTTGGTCTGCACACTTAAACCCCTTCTTATGACTAACAATTCTCCTGTGACCGCATATTCTTCACATTCAATGTCATTTATTGGTGGTATAGAGTCAATTTCTAATTCTTCATCAGTTTCAATCTCTCCATTATCCCTTATCACCATGATTCTTTTGTTAGGACATTTGTTGGCTATATGACCTCTCTGCCTTGACATTTAAAACATTTAATGTCTTGATTTCTAGATGTGGAAGGGTCAATTTTCCCTTGAGTTCCTTGGTTATTTGTCTCTTGTCTTGGCTCAGGTTTGGACTTTGCAATTGGTTTGTCCTCTTTTTTCTGAAAATTTGGCTTCCATGAAGAACCCACACTAGTTGAAAAACGTGGGCCACCCCTCCTCTTGAGTTGTTGCTCTAACTTGATGGCCACATGTAATATGTCCTCCAACTCCACATAATGTTGCATTTCCACTCTATCTTAGATTTCTGGGTTTAAACCATTTAGGAATCTAGCCATAGTAGCTTCTCGATCCTCTTCTACATTAGCCCGAATCATAGCAATCTCCATCTCCTGATAGTAATCTTCCACACTTCGATTGGCTTGCCTAAGTCTTTGTAACTTCTGATACAATTATCGATAGTGATGACTTGGCACAAATCGCTTCCTCATAAAAACTTTTATTTCTTCCCATGTTTCTATGGGACGTTCTCGATTTCTCCTCTTGCTCAACATTAATTGATCCCACCAAACAATAGCATAATCACTAAATTCAATGGCGGCCAATTTCACCTTCTTTATTTTGGAATAGTTGTGGCAGTCAAACACTAATTCCATCTTCTTCTCCCATTGAAGATAGGCTTTAGGATTGTTTTTACCTTGAAAAGAAGGAATGCGCATCTTAATACCTGTCAAGCTATTATCGTCTCTATTCCTAATGTCTCTAGCTTGTCCACCATAACGCCTCCTCTCAACAAATAAATCTCTATTATTCTCTTCATCAAATTCAGCCGCATAATATTCTTCATCCTCCTCCCTCTCTCCTCTCAGTGGAACTCTCTCCCTTTGTTGATTGGAAACATTTCGTGGATTTCTTTGTTGGATTCCTCCCTCTACCCGCTCCAATCTTTCATGAATTTGCTCTAACTCAACCCTCATCATTCTTCTCATCTCCCCCACCAATGCTTGAAATTGGAGATTAGGAACGACAGGTTGCCTTTCCTCTTCTTCAAAATTCGTTTGGGACATGATTGGGGACTTACAATGAAGGTAGCTAAGCAAAAATTCAAAATTAACAACACAAATCAAATTCTAAATTACTACAAATAAGAAAAATCTGAAATGCTAAGCAAATCATTGGGATGATGATAATGAAATACAAATTTTGATATCTTGAATCAAAACAAAAGCACTGCTAAACTGATTGGAACAATCATACCAAGAACAAAAAATGATATCAAGAACAATAAGAATATCAACAAAGAAATAAAAATAACAAGATCACATCAAGATGATTTGTATTTTAAGAACGAAAATAAAAAGAAATAATAATTAAAAAAAAAAGTTCACATCAAAAACAACATTTATCATAAAGAATATCAAGAACTAGATGATTTGAACAAAAACATGAACACGGATTTGGACAATAAAAAAGAACAATTGCTTTGGACAATCAATTGAACAACTAATATGAATAAAAACAAGGACAATCACATGAGCAATAATGATCTGAATATTAACAAGAATACAAATATGAATAATTATGAGAGCAGCTAATTGAACAAGTAATCACGAAATAAAATAACAAATTGGATTTCTTAGTAAAATTCGGACATAGATGAAAAATCAGACTTAAGAAAAAAAAGAAAATAACTAATCTCATCAATTACCCAAGAAAAAAAAAGAAAAAAAAAAGAAACATCCAACAAGAACAAAAAAAATTATGTGTTCAAGATCCGGTGTTCAAGATCCGTGAGTCTCTGATACCAAACTGATGTGCATATATGCAAGACAAGATCGTGGGGATTGATGTTCTTAAAATCGGATGTGCATGCCAAAATCGAAAAGAATTGATGGAAATTCTTATGTGATATAAGAAACTAAACAAGAAAACCGTCTCATGGCTGGAACAAACCGAATTATAGGTAGAACCTGCGGTAAAATGGATGGATGGAAGTAAACCTTCATCCAATGCTCAACGCGAACAAGAACGTTGGTATAAGGATGCAACCCTATGATTGACGTGAGGAAAGAACCTTGGTACAATGAAAGACGCCACAAACAGGGTGGAAATCCACTTGATAAGTCGGGAAAGAACTCATTAGGCGGTGGCCTAGAGTTCCGTTGGAATCCTAAGGAAACCGTGAGAGACAACCCAAATGCAAGTTTTAGAATCAGAAGTCCCCTTCTCATTTAACATAAGACATATATATAGGCTAAAGCTTACAAGAAAACAAAGTGAATATAAAATATCTTCTAAAACAAATCAAAACTACATCAAGTTGGCATGCAAGTCATTATTAAACCACAATAAAAATACAAAATATCCGGCCATAATAATTTGACTCCTTTATCCTTGGGCTTGGAATAAGTTGATAAATCTTTGCGGCTCTTTCTCCTTAGATCCTCATGAATTGGCTTGAGTCCAAGCCTCCTGGACTAATCCATTAAGAGCTTCTTTCACCCTCTTTGTACGACATCTAGTAATTGGCCCACATGGAACTTGAATTAAATCTTCTCTTGAAGTTGTGTCATTGCCATCCATACTATCATTTGCATCAATATCCATATATTTGAATTGTATATTATCAGATAGTGTGAATGATTGATTATTTATATATATACCAAAACACTTGATATCTACAAAAAAATGCATGTGCAACTCTTATCATGATGATAAGCACACAATAGTTCTTGCAAATTCTTTTAAACACATAATCAGTCGTCTATTTTTATTTGTCATACTACATGCCTAACTTTCGTTACTATTTATGTTTTAATAAATACTAGTTATTTACTTAGTTTGATTTTCAAATTCACCCATTGATATTTTTATAAAACATGTTTCATTAATCCACTTACCATGCCATCTCTACCAGAGCAAACTTCTCAGATTCAAATTTTACTTTGGTATTTTCCATTTTCATATAAATTATTGTATTTTCTTTATATGTTAGATAGTTATTTCCTTACGTTCATTTTAGTTTCTTTCAGTTGTATCGATCGTATTCTTATTTATGGAATAAAAATTTAAATTTTTCTTATTTCTTTCTATTATTACTTGCATATTCTTTTCCTTTTAAGAATACAAAAGATATTTAATTATTTTTATCATGCCCTGCGTTAACGGAAAGTAGCGCCTCACTGACTCAAGCCGTGACAATCAAACAGACGAACCCATTTCAACACTATCATAAAAGAAACTCTAGCATGATTAAATGGCACTTGTTGCAATCTTAGTTAGCCAGTCCACCACGACCATAAACATGAGAAAATTTTAGACATGTTATAGACTAATTCACAACCAAACACTCCATAATCCTTAGAGCTTGTACCATTCTTCAAGATATGCCCACCTATGTTAGATATGCAAATACATAGGAATTGAGTGGTTTATATGTCAATACATGCTAGTTAAATTCAACTATGTTTTTTGTCTTCTTTTAGATTAGTTGGGATATTATGTATGGAAGCCAGCTTGAATATTAATGTGAAAAAAATTTATAATAAACAAAGCTAACAAATGAGCATAATTATGCCAAAGGCAATTCAAGAGCATCTTTAGAAACAATACAACTAATTACAAAAATAATTTGAACATTAAAAATACAGCATCATAATGTATATATTGCATTAAAATAGAGTTCAAGCTCATAGGAGCTTCCAAATGCTCTGCAAAGCTAAGAGAAAACAGAATCCTAATTCAACATTTGAGGGCATTTACATATATATATACGCCACACAATTTTTATGTATTTACATATCGAACGCCTAACGTCCAAATCTTTCACATCACGACACAATTTTTATGTATTTACATATCGAACGCCTAAATTTTGCTTTTTTACATTTATAACATCCAAATCTTTCACATCACCTCCACAATAGCACTAGTTCAACTCTTAAAAAGTGGAATACAGCTTTTCACGCATGGGCAATCGGGCACATATGTAAAAATTGAAGTTTAGGTGTTCGATATGTAAATACATAAGAATCGAGTGGTATGTCTGTAAATCTTGTTGAATATTAATTAGAATGTCAACATCAACTCTTATAAAAATCAACATCAAACATAAATCATTATTACAGGCTGCAGTTGTGATCTGTTAAATACAAATGTTTTTCATGCAGTTTCTATGCTGACAAAATCTCACCTGATTGATTTGAAATCTGCTTCACATCTCAATTAATCTCTTCTTTAGGAATTTAATTTATCATTTTTGTGATTTAAACAAAAAAAATGTCAAAAGGATTTATGTCAAGCACATCAAATATAGTTACAAAAATAAAAAAAACAAGTCTTTATCCCACTAAATGAGGTCAGCTAGATGAATCTTTTTCTCCATTGTGTTATATTGAGTGTCATATTTGCATTTAATTTTGATAGATTAAGATTATTTTTTATACAATGTGCCCCAAGTCTGTGAGGTCTACCTCTGTTTTTTTTAACATAAGTCAAATTTAAAGTATCTACTCTCCTAACCTAATCATCGGATGGTCAACATTTAATGTGACCAAACCATCTAAGATGATAATACGATTTACAGCAAAAAATCGATATGATTCTTCACAGAAATTAGGGCAAAATAGATTTCTTATTTCAATAATTCAAATAACTTAATACGAATACAAAAATAAACGCCTACGAATTGAGAGGTAGACACTTAATACGAATACAAAAATAAACGCCTACGAATTTGAGAGGTAGGAAATTCCTACAATTTGAGAGGTAGAGGTAGGAAATTTCTCCCAAACCCTAGGCCAAAGACTCACAACTCAATCTCATGCCTAAACCCAGATGCATAAACCTAACCCTAGACATAACAAACTTATTTATACCCAACAATAATAATAACAATAAAATATTAAATTGTCCTAAGGCATACAAAAGACAAATTTGACCTTAAGCTAGGCGCCCTCGTAACAGACGATTCTATCTAATCTTGTCTGCCACTGAAGCTACACCAACTCTATCACAAATATTTGCATTTCATATTTTGTCTATAAGTGTCAAATCACCCGACCACCTTAGCATTCTTATCCCAGTAACACTTACCTTTGTTTTATGCTTCTCTTTTAAAGGCCAGTATTCTGCATCATAGAGCATTACAAGTCCCACCGCCATCTTATAAAATTTTTTTTTCCATCTAATCGGATCTAACTAGATCAAAATTGAACCAAACACCATTCTGGATTTAACAGCAAATGGATTTAACAAATATAAATATATTCAATTTACTAAATCTTATTTAACATAAATCTAGATTGCAGCCAAAGACTCCCTACATGTAGGGGTGTAAACGAACCGAACACGAACTAACATAGCTTGTGTTCGTGTTAGGTTCGTTTGAAATTTAGTTTGTTTGAAATAAGCACTTGTTCGAAATTGTTCGTGAAATCATTGTTCGTGTTTGTTTCTTAACGAACGAGCTGAACACGAACAAACATAGCTTGTGTTCGTGTTAGGTTCGTTTGAAATTTAGTTTGTTTGAAATAAGCACTTGTTCGAAATTGTTCGTAAAATCATTGTTCGTGTTTGTTTCTTAACGAACGAGCTGAACACGAACAAACATAGCTTGTGTTCGTGTTAGGTTCGTTTGAAATTTAGTTTGTTTGAAATAAGCTTGTTCTTCCTTTTCCTCCGGACCGTGCCGAACACGAGCTGTTTGTGAACGACGAGCCAGTTTAACATCCCTAATATTAATATATATAAATAATATATTATATTAATTATATAACTTATATTATATAAATATATAATATCTATATTAGTATATTACTAATATAGTATATTAATATATTATTATTAATAATTTATTATATATTATAATTTTTAAAATTTAATTTTTTTTAAAATATCATAAAATTTATATATATATATATAACTATTTTAAATTATTTTATATTTCGAACAATAACGATTCGAACACAAACAAACACTTCACTGTTTGTGTTTGGTTCATTTAACTAATCAAACGAACAAAATTTGTTCACGTTCTTCTTGTCTATTTATTGAACGAATCGAATACAAACTCATTGACGAACCGAACAGAACAAAGAGCTTTTTTGACAGCATACGCATATATAAATTATATGGCGCGGCAATTATGAAATGAGAGATGGATGGCAAAGCAAAGATAGCCATTTGGCTAATACCAAGAGGAAATCTCAGTTGCAAAATGTTGCATCATCTCTAAATTGTTTAGCCAAATTGTTTTTTACAAATAAATATAAATTTAGATTTATAAATATATCTATCTTTATTTGCTATTGACACATGGTAAACAAAGGAAGGCCGGCCGAGCAATTGACCAATATATACGCTTTAAAAAAAAAAGAGATTTGCATAAATACCACTTAATTCCCATGTATTTAAATATCTAACATCTAAACTTCAAATTTCATATGTATGTCACCATAAAAGTTAAATTAGTAATATTTTTGATGTGATAGAAATCTGGTGGTATTTATGTAAATGCCACAAAAAAAAAAAATGCCTATCATGCAATTCTCATGAATTTACATTTCTCGTACCTAAATTTTCATATTTACCCGCAGCACTCAAATCTTTAGTAGCACGACAAAAATAATACTATTATTATTATTTTTAGAACAAAAAAGCCAAATTTGAGATATGTAAATGCATAAAAATTGTGTGTTAGGCATGCAATTTTCCCAAAAAAAAATCAAATATAAAAAGAAAGATTTATGTACAGACCACTTAATTTCGATATATTTACATATCTAACACCTAAACTTCAATTTTTATCTCTATACCATAACTAAGGTATGTTTCACTTTCTTAAAAGTTATAGTGATATTTTTGAAGAGGTATGAGCGAAAATAAAAAAGTAGGGGTGTTAAATATGTAAATACATAGGAATTGATTGGTATTTATGTAAATGCCACATAAAAACAAAAATAAGAAATAAACCCAGAAATCATACAAATAGATGGTGAAACATCGTTTGGAAGCATTGAATACCTGAATTAAACCACTTTTAACCGTCGTCGTCGTCTTCTTGTTCTTCTTCTTCCTCATCCTCTGTAAGAAATTAAATGAACAGAGAAAGGTTCTTCTTCTTCCTCTTCCGACTTACCGTCGTCTTCTTCCTCGTACTCCTCCTGCTAGATTTCGGAATCTCTGATGCCCGGCCATTGGCGGAGGAAGGGAGCTGCTCTGAGGCGCGGGAGATTTACAGAAGGCACAGCGGAGAATTCAAGGTTTTGAGCTCTATTTTGCCGAGAGGTTTGGTGCCGCCATCAGCTCCAGTTGACGGTGGAAATTAAGAAGCTGTTTGTTTCATGTATATTTATTATTTTTTTATTATTATTTAAATTTGATTGATATTAGAGAAATGATTGTATGATGATGGTGAGGGAATTCATAATGTACGCATTGATTGAATAATATGATCAGAAAAAAAAATTTTTATTATTGAAAACATTAAAAAAATATTAAATTTTTTATAATTTTTTTTTAAATAAATAAATTTGTTATATCATAGATTGATAAATTGAATTTTGATATATATATATCGGATTCAAGCACTCTGTTTTTTGGGTTGAAATTTACCATCGAAATCGATCTGCATCTATTTACAAATTAAACCTTGGATTTCTTTTTTTTTTTTTTTTTGGGAAATTAACATACATACCACTTAAATGTTATCTATTTGGACATCTAACACGAAAAGATTTGATATATAAATGTAATATCTAACACCTAAAGTTGAAATTTTATGTGCGTGCCACCTTACCTATGCATCAAAATTTGTATTACACCTTTTTTAAGTTAAAATGGTGATATCAAGCGGAGCAATCGCATCGATCTTCAGCCATCTCAGAGCCGCCTCTGAGATTCTATATTAGGGGCCAAAAATTATCAATAACATAATCCACGAGCTTCCTAAATGACCCCCCCTTGTCAACCAATGAGTTATTATCGGATTACGGTGATTCACTCTCTGCTCAGTAGTCTATTACTGTTCCGCCGATTGGAGCTCCTTATACAGGGATTTAGAGTCGTAAAACAGACTATAATAACCAAACAGCAAAGCCTAGTTGATCATGTAGAGCCCTGCCGACCCGAAGATCATCAAAGACCGATCTACAACTCCAATTCATCATAGCCGAACGAGCAAGCCTTGCCGAACCAAAACCCCACTAATTTCATCCAACCAAATCATGAGGTTGCAGAGTCGTAGACCCATGCATGTAAAACACTTAAATTATCATGTAACACCCCCATTAAAGCAATAGAAAATATGTAATTTCACATATTGTGCCTCTCCCTCTATACATAAGAGAATCATTTTATGAGAAAATGCCTAATCAATAAATCAAATTATTGTTCATCACAGTGAGCCTCTCTCTCTCTCTCCTTCTCTCCCTCCTGACTTACACTACCTCTTTAAATGTGATTCACTAACAAATTTGGTTTCATAAAACACGCATGAAAATGTGTATTTAATTTTCTTAAGTTAATAACAATAATGATTTTGACGTAATATTAAAAATTACATATAAATATGAAAGTTTAGAAGCTAGGTATGTAAATACATGATACTTGTATGATATGTGTGTAAATTCCCTATGATATTTTGAATGGGTGTCATCAGAATTTTATTTATTTTTCTCAATCTGTTGTCTCATTTTGGACAGATATATAAATTTGTTAATATTTTAATAAATGCATTGAAATATGCTTAAAGAGCAATGTTGCCACATTTTTATTTAAGACTAATTAAATATCATGATTAAAAGACTTGGCCTTATTCAAGGTGGCTCTGTCTTAAAAATAAAATAAAATAAAATAAAATAAGATCATTTTCAGTGGTTGACTCATGTTGGACACCGGATGACTTGCTCTCCAATTCATTTTTACAAAAGGGGATGCACAAGAGTGTGCAAATTATAGAGGAATTAAGTTGATGTATCATACTTTAAAATTATAGGAGATGGTAATTGAACATAAGTTAAGACGTATTACTAAGATTTCTCATAATCAATATGGATTTATGCGGAGCAGATTCACCGGATGACTTGCTCTCCAATTCATTTTTACAAAAGGGGATGACAAGAGTGTGCAATTTATAGAGAAATTAAGTTGATGTGTCATACTTTAAATTTATGAGAGAAGGTAATTAAACATAAGTTAAGATGTATTACTAAGATTTCTCGTAATCAATATGGATTTATGCGGAGCCAATTTACTATGGAAGCTGTACATTTATTAAGAGGTTTGACGGAGAAGTTCAGAGATAATAAGGAGGGTCTACATTTGATTTTTATTGATTTAGAAAAAAAACTTACTGTAAAGTTCCAAGGGATATCCTTTGGAGAGTTCTTGAGAAGAAAGGTGTTGATATGACTTATATTCAAGTCATTAAAGATATGTATACTAGAGCTGTCACTTGTGTTCGAACAGAACGAGGATTGACAGAATGTTCCCATATCTTTTTGCTTTTAGTTATGGATGGTCTTACTGGACATTTACAGGAGGACGTACCTTGGTGTATGCTTTTTGTTAAGAAATGTGTTGATATGACTTATATTCAAGTCATTAAAGATATGTATACTAGAGCTGTTACTTGTGTTCAAACTGAACGAGGATTGACAGGATGGTAGAACTAAAAGTGAATATATGGAATGTAATTTTAGCAGTAGTAGCTCCAGTGATGGAAATGTGACTTTGGGTGATCAAATTATCTTGATTTTGTTGTTATCTCGGGTCTATTGTTCAAAGCGATAGTGATATAGATAGGGATGTTAATAGTAGAATTCAAGTTGGTTGGTTGAAGTGGAGGAATGCTTCGAGTCATTTGTGTGATAGAAACGTACTGCTTAGACTGAAAAGAAAATTTTATAAGAAGGTGGTGAGACCAGCAATGCTCTATGGCGCTGAAT